TGATTCAGATTTAGATTCAGACAACTTTATTGATCCCACATGAGGCAATTCATTTGTAGCATACTTATCCCAAACATCAACCACAGCAACATACAATTTCCTATGTTATGCACAGTCCAGTAAAACAGACCACTAGGTCATTGAAGGGCACATTGAATGGCCCAAGTTTAAAAAACATATAGATAAAAATATTTAAAAAAAAAAATAAGTAAAAAATATTGTTACATCCAATATTATAAGAATGTGTAGCCTATTATTTTTGTTTTTTTGATTCGTGGAGAAAGTATTTTGAGTATTTTGAATACAAAATTACTCCACTCAAAAGTATTTTGTTACAAGTTACATTTGCTTTTTATCGGCCTCATCAAATACAAATTACAAAATACTCGAATGTAATTGAAATACGTATTTTAAATACAAGTAATAGAAATACTGACCATCCCTGATTATTTTGGCGTATCTATGATGAATATAGTCCATCTGGTGCTTGTTTTGTTTGTTTCATGCCATTCCCTTCACTACTACAAATGCAGCTGTAGCCAGTATCTCACTATCACTATCCTCATTCATATTTTAAGAAGCTACAAATTATATTCAGCCACAAAAGAAGTCTAAAAAGCAGGAAATACAACACATTCTCACTCTGACCTCGTCACATATCGGTGTTTGGTCATGGATTTTCCATGTCCACATACGATGTGCAAGATACCTGGGGTGTGTTGGTTGGTGACATTCTGGGACACTTGTCAAGTTCTGCCTGTTACATGCATTGTCTTCTTTCAAGATACACATTTACATACAGTCTTTTCAAAATAAACGCACCACATCAGTACAACACTGCGAATTGATTGTTTTTTCTCCTTCAACAACAAAAACACGTAGTTGTGTTTGGGGAAAAAAGAACAGGGTTTGGCTTTAGAATCTTACAGGATGTGAACACCGCTCTCTTGGATGAAAGTAAGTGTTTGTTGGACCCATCCACCACCTCTCCTGCCCACCCTACTTGGACTTTTGGCGCCTTAACTTTGGTTCTTGTCCCGCCACGTTTCCCCCTGATGCTGCCAGGCACCATTTATCATTCTGACATTAAAGGGCGCCTTTTTTCATTGGTTTCTGACACCGCAAGTCACTGCCCAAGCACTGGATTTCAACGACTTTGGAGTGAGGCCAGTCTAGGAAATCAGAACGGAAGTACAGAGAGTTGTTGTATAGAGATGATGCATCGCCTCTTCCAGTTGCACAGGTGTGAACCAGCACCTCACAAGTAGCTGCCTGTTTCAACATCGCCATGAATCTTCGGTCTGAACTGGGCTAAACAGAAAGAATATGTATAGTTTTTTGGATTTTGGAAAGAGTTGTTCATGTTAACTTGTTTCTGGACTGTCTTAGATCATAGGAATAACATGTATGAATTGTGAAGATGGGTATAGTTCCCCTTTAATGTAAAGAGGTAAAATACAGTACGGTACAATACTACACCATCAGTGTCTGATTTACTAAACCACAACCGTGTAAGTGAAAAACACCTAAATGCTACATTTAAAATGTTCAGAATTTACCATTGAATTCATGTTAAACCAATTTTTTGTCATTATGAAATAACACTTAAACACTAAACTGCTTCTTTTAATAAGTTACACCTACAGTTTAGTGATATAATTATTGTGATCTATTTTAAATTAACATTTTAAAAAAATCTACCCTCTGCAAATCTCCAAAGTACCACTAGGGGTGCACATGCTCCCCATTTGAGAAACACTGCTATTATGTGGTGTAGTCGTTGTGAGCCAAGACACCATTTAAGTGTTTCATCATGAGTTCTTAAACATGTATTATCCTTTCAGGAATTTCTTTCAAGTCTGTAGCAGTTCTGAAACAAATAAACAAATAATTAATAAATGTTTTATAAGGTAGTCATAACATACTGTCACTGGTAAATATATTTTACACTGTGTTACCAGGCTTTTATTAAATGGTCATACACCAGCTTTTTATATGTGTTATAGCTGTTGACAAATACAATACTAAACACAATAATGTCCTTATATCTGCTTACAGCTACATTACAGTGTGTTATAAACAATCTATAACATGAAGTAATCCAACTCTAGATGATTTTTTTTCCTTTGTAACCTGGACATTTACAGATGTGTTGCATCAGTGTTTGAGATACTTGCTCAGATGAACAAACTTTAAAAATGCAGCCTATGTCACTGGTCTGCATTTATCTAAAAGTGTGGCAACCACATCTTATCAAGCAGAGAGTAAAAATCTGATTGTACAGATAATGAGGTACAAAATGTGTCTGTTGGTTAACAACTAGAAAAACGTTAAGAGCCCATCAGCAGGCTGCAGACGGATTGATCTGACATTTGCAGATGCTTACAGTCTGTTTAAGTAACTGTGTGTTCGAAAGGTCAGAAGATAATTTGACCCTATGATGCTTAAATGTTAGTGTGTGTCTGTGTAAAGGAAGAGGTTACAGACATGAGACCCCTGCGTCTTTACAGAGAGTCGTGTCGGTCTCAAGTTGCATAATCACACTGATCTGTGACACTCATGGAGACTATTGAACCAGCAGGCAGATAAGTGAGGGCAGGTTAAAGAGGAGACTTCATTTTGACACTAGTATGTGAGATGTTCAGGGAACTCTAACTAAGGTCTGACCTCAGGGACCTTTAATTAGATGCTCACATTTCAAGCTTCTGGACCCTGTTAGTTAGTGAAATCAGGTGGGTGTCACTGTCCTGTGAGGATCACAGCTCCGGCAACAAAACTAACACATAAACAGATAAATAAACAATTGTGTTTTGATATAATACATTTGTGTTTTATCTTATATACCTTCCAATAATGTACAAATGATCATATATTGTTTAATGTAAAATCTTAATCTGGAAAGTAGAAAATACTGAATAGATGTCCAATAAATGCACTTGATGAAATACAATGGGCTTTTGATGATGCAACCAGAGCGATGCTAACTTCCACATAGGCCTACAAACACACATCATCTCTGCAGCACCCTATGCAGTCAGTCTTGTCCCAACCTTTTGACCTTCAGGGCCACAAGATAAATCTGATGGGATCATGAGCTGATCAATAGATACATACAAATGATACACAAATGTCTTTACATTGTTTGGACTTTTCTCTAAACTTTGATTTTTTGGGAAATATTGGAAAACTTTATCTTTTGGGCCATGAATAGTTATTTGTATGAAACCTAGGATTGGACATTAATGTTCTGTCCACCTGCTATTGTGGCTGGTGGATTCTAGAATCTACCAGCCACCCTGAGGAAACCATGTGAGAAGGTTAGAGGAGAAAGGTCCCCTTGGTGGAGCTGCTGACAACCATAGACTGTAAAAATAATGGATGTGGGTACCATGATGTCACTCATTGGTTTGTGGACTCCCGTTTTGAAGCCTCAAATTCAACATTTCGGCCATCTTCATCCTGACTTTTTGGAGACAGAAGTGACCATATTTGGGTGAGAGGTTGGAGCTGTGGAGGCGAGGAGTGGATCTGAGAAGCTGAGGACACTATCAGTAGACAGCCGGTCAGTCAAAGCAGCCCCACCCTCAATTATGTGTTAATAAAATGTAAATCGGTGAGTTCTGTAAAAATTCATCCCCCGTACTGTTGTCATGAAAGGGGGAAATAGCTATCGAGACCAAAACTGTTTCTTTACCAGACTGTTAACATGTTTATTTCTGTTGTAAAGTTGAGCATTTCAACATGGGGGTCTATGGGGATTGACTGGCTTCTGGATCCAGCCTCAAGCAGCCGTTTAAAGAACTGCAGTTTTTGGGCACTTCCACATTGGCTTCATTTTTCAGCCCCGCAGATTGCAGCTTACTAACAGCTCATAAGTATACCTATTTGGGGCAGCAGTAGCTCAGTCCATAGGGACTTGGCTTGGCTTGGAACCAGAGGGTCAACAGTTCAAGTCCCCATAAGGACCAAGTATGGAGTGTGGACTGGTAGCTGAGAGGTGCCAGTTCACCTTGTGGGCACTGCAGAGGCACAACAAGGCAACAAACCCCCAAGTGCTCAGGGCACCTGTTCAAGGCAGCCCCCTTGCACTGACACTTTAATGCATGTACAGGTCCTGTTTGTGCATGTGTGTGTATTTCAGGCCTGTGTGTATATGACAACAGACCCTCTGGGATTAATAAAGTATGTATTCCTCTTCTACCTCTATCTGTTAGGTAACAAGGTGACCCAGCTGCACACTGATTATAAACAAGATGATTTAATAGTGTTTTGTATTTTATTAGCTTCTCAAATGTTTTTTTAAATGGAAAATGTTAATCTAAAAGTAATTTGTGACTACTGGGGCAAGGAGTAGAATATTTTCCTCCATATTTTAGTGGAGTTTTACGTAAAGTAAAATATTAAAGTAAAGTACATAAAACTGTACTTAAGCACATTACATAAATGCATTCCTCACAACTGAATATAGGCATGTTAGTATCATATTTAGACTTTTAAATCATATTGTATCGGATCGTATTTAGACCTTTCTTCTTCTTCTTCTTCTCCTTCTACTATCCATAAGGTGACAAGAAGACCCAACTGCACGCTGATTTTAAGCAACAAGACAAAACGTTTGGGAGCCACTGGTTTAAAATTTGATAGTGTTTTGTATTTTATTAGCATATCAAATGTTTTCTTCTTTGGAAATAGTTCATCCAAATGTAATTAGTGCACACTAGAGGCAAAAAATACAATATTTTCCTCCAGATTTTAGTGGAGTTTAAGTATAAAGTAGCTAAATACTCAAGTAAAGAACCTTTAAATAGTACTCCAAAGGCACGGTATATGACAAAATGTACTCTCCACAGCTGAATATAGGCATGCTAGTATCATATTTAGCCTTTTAAAAACCATGAATGTATCCTTTAACTGTTAAATAAATAAATAATAAGCATGTTGTGTCGCTGCTGTTGACCACGTGACTTTCTGGGTGTTTCTTAAAGCCTGTGTCACATGACCCTGATGTCAGTCTCTGCTGTAGCTGCGGTGATAAAGTGTGTATAGGCGAGCTAAAATAACCTCACAGCTAGCGTATACAGATATAGAAAAGTTTAAACTTGTTACCAGAGACGCTGGTGGCTTTAGTTACCGAGAGCAGCGCTTTTTCACCTCAACAAATCACTGCGTTTGACTTTTATTTTCCCTTCGCTGCTGCTGTTGTTACGCTAACGTTAGCATAGCTAGCACAACATCTGCTAAGCTAGCTAACTAGCAGCGTCCTGTGTTCGTGCGTTGCCGTGATTTCTTGAGGAGCAGCCCGGAGAGGAACCGGAGAAACATGAAGCAGAGCAGCAGTGTCCAGTCATGGTGTGTGGGAGTAACGATACAGCTGATTTTAGGTGAGTATCGGTTGCTTTAGCTAACGTTACAGTTACCTGGCGAATAAAACAACGTTACCGAAGGTCACTGGTAACCTGCCCTCAACTAGCACGACTGACGTTAGCTCGTTAAAAAGCAACCTTTTGTAATATTTTAACAGTAATGACTCAAATTGAATGTAGTATATAGTAGGGGCAACATTATCAGGCCTATACATAATAGATAATGTGGATTTTTTATGTCAGAATCGTTTTAACTTATAAATGCTGTCTCAGGAGTTAAATGCTGCGTTCACGTCCCTCCTCAGCTGAACTGAAACTGAGTGTTAACAGTCATGGAGTCAATGTAACACAGGATAAATCTCAGTTTACTCCCTTATCAAATATCCTTTGTCTTATTAAAAGTAAATGGAGGAGGCTAGGGAGAAAAGGGAGCAGAGAATTAAGTGATTAAATTATGTCTGCATCAGTTTCTTTGATAATCCATCATCAAAATGGAGAAACTATATTTATATAGCACCTTTCAAAACAGTTAATAAGTGCTGTACAATAAATCTAAACACATTTAAAACACAAGGAGAATAAAACAACATGTCATAAATGTCATCTAAGTAAAAGATAAAATAAGGAAACTAAAATCATGATAATAAATGGGAAATTACATCATTAAGATGGTAATAAAAATAGACACACAGCTCAGATAAAGTCAGGATATGCTGTCTCATTTGAAGTATGTTTGTAGGTGAGGCTTAGGGTGTTTTCAGACTTGGCCCATTTCAGCCCTCTAGGCAGATTCAGAGCGGTGACTCAGCATTTTTTGCACATATGTGAACACCAAGAGAAGTCAGACCCCTCTGAAGCAAACCAAACTAGTACACGGTGCAGTTTGCTTAACCTGTGCCTTGTGAACACAAAGCGCTCCAGGTTCACTTTGCTCTTTGCCATTGTATTTAGCCCTCTATATCACATGCTATTGCACTTGGACGCTTGAAGAAACAGATGAACCCACGCTGGGCTGTAAAGCTTAAAAGGACACAGGACGAGGAGTAGTTTGGTCCACAGAAGATACTGCACGTCTCCAGATGTGGAACGTAGAACACATCAAATGACAACAGTCTACAGCACAGAAACACTAAGGTTTTCCTCCAATTTAAAGTTCATGTGAAAGTGAGGGGCTTCATAGACCATGCAATGCCACGTCAAAGTACAAAAATAAGCTATGTCAACACATATTATATATAGGCTGTAGTGTGAATAGGAAGAGGACTGAGGCCCCATGAGAGTGGAAGTTGACCGGAAAGAGAACTGAGTCCTTTTTCAGATGAGCTGACAATGTTGGTCCACTTTTTGGCGCACTTTAAGAGGAGTGATTTCGATTTGTTTAAAAATGACTATATGTGAAAACACCCTTAAAAAAGCCAGTGACTCAGACAGCCTTACATCGTCGGGCAGGTCATTCCAGAGCCTCAGGGCCCTGATTGCAAAAGCTCATCCCCTTAAGTCTTCATTCTGGACTCTGGAACAAACAGTAGACTACTGCCCAAGGATCTCAGACTACGTAAAGGTTCATCAGGGACAAACGGGTCTGACATGTAATCTGGAGCCAGGCCACAAAGAGCCTTAAAAGTAATCAATAAGATTTTAAAGTCAATCCTAAAACAAACAGGGAGCCAATGTAAAGAGGCTAAAACTTGTGTGATGTGGTCCTGCTTCCTGGTTTTGGTTAAAAGCCTTGAGGCTGATTCAGTTCTGTAAATAGTGGTGGAAAGTACTACGTACATTAAACTCAAGTTTTGCATGTTTTTAAAGTATTTTAAAGGTTTTGAAGATATGTAAAAACACTGTGCTTTGAGTAGTAATTTGTGTTTGAAATGGTTTTTAGATACAACAGTTCAGTTACCCTGGTTAAACAATATAAAAATTACATCTACTCCTTCTCCCTCAGTGCAGAAGTTAAACTGCTGGTCATAAGACGTCTCCTATTTCACTGAAGAGTCAGTTTTCAGTGTTTGGGAGCTGGTAGTTCAAGTTTCTGCATCACACATCTTTTTTTGTGTCTTTTTACATGATTGGATGCTGCTTGATAATTGTCCGTGTCTCTGGATTGCTCCTGTAATCTGTGGTTTATATAGCAGCAATCCACAGCGGGAATGGGACAGCACCTCACATTCCCACTGTTACACCAGTCTTTATTCACCATTAAGCACACACGCCTCCTCTCCTTTGCTCTGTCAGATCGGCATAGAAAAAGAGTCTCCTGGTTGAACGGTGCTGTAGGATTCAGCCAAGTTTTGGTGAATCAAAGGATATTACAGTACCTGATATCCTGGACTGTGGTTGACTTCAAAACTAGTGTAGTGTCACAAAATCACGCTCATATGTCCGTGTCTGAAACTGAGATTTAATGTTTCTATCATCAGCAAATGAGTGTCAAAACTGCCTTCTACTGTCAGACTGTGCACAGTCAAACAGGTGAAGTAGAGATAAGTGGAGCTGTTCTGATACCACTACCAGTAAAAGAAATGTGTCTGATACTCCCTAAAGTAGTTACACACCCGGATAAAACGGCAGAAATCAGTTCTTCTTTGCTATTCTACAGCAGTACCCTACACAGCAAGGGGCACTGTGCAGCCACCGCAAATTGTCAGCAATTTGGCAATACTGGAAACAATGGAAAGTCCCACCAGTAAAAAGACAACGTGTACAGTACCTAATTTCAGCACCATCATCATGTATGACAAGGGTTTAACCTGCGCCATGTCATACACCAGTGATAGAAATAATATCTTTTCCATACAGGGTTAATGTGAAGACAGCTGTTAAATTTGTTTTCTAAATGCAGTGGTGTCAGACCAGTACTCTTTATCGGCTGATACACAAGTTCAGCTATTGGAATCTGTATCTGGAACGAAAAAATGGTATCTGAACATCTCTAATGATAACCAGAACATATTTTTGAGTAGAGGGGGTCTCTAATTTTGATTGCACTTGAACTTAACTGTATTTCAGAGGCATATCTTGTACTTAATAAAAGTTCAACTATTATTAGTTTGATAAGTCTGTTTATTTTTCAAAGTTGCCAAATTTACCTTCTCAAATGCTGCTGCTCTGACCCCTGTAAGATGGTGAAATGAATATATTTGGATTTTTAGCTGTTGTTAGACAAGACAAGCTTTTCAAAATAAACATGTCAAATTGGGCTTTTTAATATTTCCGGACATTTTATCACCTGAACAATGACATTCCCTGTAACTGTCCCCTACTTCTCACACCACTGTACTTCGCTGGCAGCCACAGTTATTAGAATAGCCATCTGGTTGTGCTACTAATAACCTGCTACCCGTAAGTATTATGCATTAGTGACAAAGCAAAACCTGTAACAGTGTGGTACATACCATGAGGGCTTTTGCCTCTTGCACAGAGGAATTTTCCTTTTCATGCACTGTGTGTGTGTTTGAGAAGGAAGCAGCACCCCATAGTGGTTCACACCAGTTCAAACCATTTACATGTTCACAGACAGAATGAAGCACTAAACTTCACTGAAAAAATATGTTTTTAATAATAATAATACATTTTTTTTCCTTCAGATCAAAATCAGGCTCCACCCTGGTGTGTTCAGATGTCGATACAAACCTCATCTCATTGTGTTATTGCCGAGTGAAGGTCCTGAGTACTTGATTTAACACTGATAAAAATAGTACAGTCCTAACATCTTTTAGACACGACCAAGTGGAAAGGACAATCTGAATGTTAAATTCAAATGTGAGTCTTGTCTCATCATGTCACATCAAGTGAAATGCTGTAATTAAAATAGGCCTGTACCTAAAACAGTTACTTCTTTGACAATTCAGTGTATTTATTTATGTTAAAACCATTTTAGTTAAAACTCTGTTTCCATTTTCTGCCACTGATTTAGGTCCAGGTGGCCTTAATTTAATGGATTATGTCATTAGGAATTATTGTTAAATATGGCTTGGAAGTGCTGAATCAGTTTCCTAAAATGGACTCTGAAATGGCTTAATCAAAGGCCATAATGACCTGACAGGTTTTATACTTTGTCCAATGTGATTGTGAAACAGGTCTTTGCATTCTTTGTGATATTAAAAAGGTCTTTAATAGTCTTAAATTTAACTTACTGAACCATGCAGAAATCCTGTACTTCTTTATGTATAATTTTAAATATGTTGGAAGTACTCTTTTTGGTTTAGGCAAAGGGTGGCGCCTGGGGCAGAACATGCAGGAGGCAGGACATGACGCATATTACACAATGGTCTCTTGTCGTTCCTTAAAATTGTCTGATGATTTCACTGTTGGCTAATACCGACAAAAGTTCCCAAATCTTGTCATCTGTCCAGTCAGAAATTTTTGTTGCTGACTAAATGTAAATGTTTCTTCTTCTTCACCCTTTTATGTTTGATCTCTTGCGGTTTCACGTGAGTTGCATGATAGAAACATCATCAACACGCTTGCTCACACGCTGTGAATTCTCCAGGAATTTACCCACTCTATTCACACGCAGGCTCAGTTGCACATTACATGGACTTTGAACTAGGGAGCTTGCAGGGTAGGGTCTATTAAATATCCAATTCAACTGATTCGGACATTTACGTTTTGACATCCAGCTCCCTGGGTAATATCCTAATAATGTCAGATTTGCAGTTCATGTGTGAAAGGGGCTCTAGACTCATAACTGACTGTCTTTCACAGCTGCCGTCCTGCACCAGGGTTTCGCTACTGTTGCCCCGCCCACAACTGCCCAAACCACCGCCGCACCGCACAAAGACCCCGGCAGACCTGAGAAAGGAAACTACCTGGTCAAGAACATCAACGGTACTACCTGTCTACTGGCATCCATGGGTCTGCAGCTCAACATCACCTTCAACTCTGTCTCCCAGAACAAGGTGCCTAAATATAAACCCTCAAACAGCTGAATGAATTCTGTTGGAGCTAAAAATACAGACACAATAGCAGGTTGTAAATGCTAAATGTGATGTCCTTTAATTCACAGACTGTGCAGGATGTTATGAACCTTCGGCCCAATATGACAAAGTTCTCTGGATCGTGTGACACAGACAGCGCCTCCCTGCAGCTCACGACGGATGCAGACAAGACCAACCTCACCTTTTTCTTCACCCTGGTAAGTTATTGTATCTGCCCTCATAACTGTGTATATGACCTCCGTGTATCTCCTGAAACAGCCACTAGATGGCAGCAGGGGCTTGATCTAAACATACTTTACTGCAGTGTCACTGAGTTCTTGACGCTTCTCTCCAGAATTCTACGTCCCGTAAGTACCACCTGAGTGAAGTGTCTCTGTCTGCAGCCTTGCCAGACATGAAAGGTGAGTGAACTTTACCTCCCAGTGTTCATGCTAACTACCTTTTATCAGATTAATAAGCAAGTGTTGTCGGCTCAGTGAGGGAGAGGTGGCACCTCAGTTCTAACTTACTGAAGCATACTTATTGTAATCACTCCCTGTTCTGTCCTCGCTATAGAGCCCGTTGTAGCCCATAACCGCAGTCTGGACTATCTGCGGGGCACCTACGGTTACTCATACATGTGCCGTGAGGAGCAGACTCTGAATGTGGCTGAGGATTTGTCCATCAACACCTTCCAGGTGCAGGTGCAGCCCTTCGGCCTCACTGGAGATCAGTTTGGAGCAGGTAAACACCTCCGTCTAATACAATGTGATCAAAATAAATTGGTGTTCTCGCCCTAATTTGCCCTCTGTGGTGTTTCCCTGCTTTCAGCTGAGGAGTGCCAGCTGGACGAAGACGACATGTTGATCCCCATCATAGTCGGAGCAGCTTTAGCAGGTCTCGTCCTCATCGTGCTCTTGGCGTACCTCATTGGCAGGAAGAGGAGCCACGCTGGCTACCAAACCATCTGAGGTCACTTGTCACTCTCATGTTCCCAGAGGCCAGAGCGCGCTGTCCCACCCTTCAGATTAACCACTGTTTTATGAGACTTAACACTCCTCCCTTTGTCCCCCCTCTATCCCTCCATCCTCCACCCTCCCTGCCTGTGTGTGTGCTGTTCTCCGCCCTCATCAGTAACACTAGTCATTATCACTTTGTGGAGGTTGATACGCTCTTTCTAAACTGACCCGCTCATTCATAAAAAAGGGGGGCTTTGTTTGGAGATAGTAATGAAATGACAGAAGAACCTACGGGTACGACATAAAGCAGGGGATGGATGTTGATCAGAGGGTCCATGAGAGTCTCAAATTGTATTGTACTATTTATGATTTCTGTGAAAGGAATTTTGAGGGATTTATGGGATTTGAGGGAATACTAGACGCTACTGTAGCTTTTCTTATCGTTGATCTGCTTTAGGGCGACCATTTTTAGTCGTCATTGAGGTCTGTTGTTATAAAGGGAATTTTTCTGCGTGTTAAACTTAATCTACTGCAGACAGTCATCATCTGACTTTTTTTATTGCAGCTCTACATTTAGCCCAAGTATGCAGATTTTATATAACATACTAGAAACACAGTAACCCAATCTGATAAAGGACATGTGAGGAGTCCCCCAAGTAGTTAAGATGCATTTAGGAATTGATTTGTTCACTGGGATTAGTGGTGATATGTCCCATTCCCTCTGAAAGGTACTCAACTAATTTTGTATGGAGACTGAAGATACAGTCGTCAGCTGTGTAAGATAATTGTGTTTTGGCTTTTTCACCTTATTTAAAGGAATAATTCAACATTTTAGGAAGTAGGCTTATTTGCTTTTTTGCAAAGAGTCGCATGAGGATTGATACCACTCTCCTATTTGCTTAATATGAAGCCACAGGTAGCTCTGAATCTCATTATACAATGCAAGGATTGCCAGCGAAATTTTGTTAACAGTGTTTCCGGTGAAAATCAAAGTGAGGGCCAACCCCGGCTTTGTTCCGTTATTTTGTCGCTCTGTCCATGATTTTCACAGCTCCTGATCACTGCTTTTTAATGCAGTCCCAGCCTCACCTGCATGCTGCTACTGACTGAGGGCTACATGCCCAAAAATGTGTGTATATACAGGCAGAGGGCAGAGTCTCTGCAGACAAATAAAATGTGATGCTTTCACATTTCAGTTTTTGTACTGAAAAATACATGTGTTGATAAGTGAGCTTTAGTGGTGCTGGTAAGATTTGTTACCTTAAGATAGAGGTAGGCTAGCTGTTTCTCCCCGTTTCCTGTCTTAATGCTAAGCTAACAGTTTCCTAGCAGTACAATGAGAGTGGTATCAGTCTTCTCATCTAACTCTGGGCACAAATGTGAATTTCCTAAAATGTCAAACTCTTCCTTTAAAGGAATAATTTACCCACAAATTATCATTTGTATATCAGTTACTCGCCTCATGTTATGTTGAATTTGTGAAGAAACATTGTTTTTCTCTTACGCCTTCATGGTGAACGGAGAATCCAAAAATGGAAAAAAATTCTTAATGAATTGAAGTCACATGGGTTGATGTTTAACAGGAGCAAAACTATCTGAATATCCATTTACAGACTCTCGCACAACTGGTGCAGTATAATCAAAGCCTCATTTATCCAGTCGTATGCTCATTACTATTCAAAACAAACACAAACAGTCTCACACACGGACGAGTAGCGCACCTTAGTGACTCAATTAAATTCACAAGCAGAGGTCAAACGCATGCGCTTGCCCTCATATATGAAAATGTCTTAAATGGTAAGGTTTTAGCGAAAGGTTTTAGCCGTTTTGCTCCAATTCCTCAGAAATTTTCTCCGTTTTTGGATTCTTCACCCACCATGGAGACATGTAAGGAGAGCAACGTTTTCTTCAAGAATTCATTATAACATAGGATAAGTAGCTGATAAACAAATGATCATTTTATGGGTAAAATATTCCTTTAGAATAATAATAGCCACTTTTTTGGATTCTGCTGTTACAGTTCTCACAGGCAACAGGAGTTGCTTAAAAACACAAACACACAGCTGTTGGTTTATGTGGATGAAAAAGCTCAGGACATCACTGTAAGAGTGTAATCATGTTGAAGTGTTTTACTCCACTGGGTGGTTTTGTTTGTTTTCTTTTCCCCTGAATATGGGCCCACTCTGGGTTTTGGTAGCTGAAGGGAGAAGTTGCACTAAAGTTCTGACAAACAGCCCCATGTAATGATTAAAGTGGCCAAAATGCTCTGGTCAGTGTTCATCAGTGCCTTCCCAGCTGTGACATAGATGGGATTAAAGTAAAGCCAATGCCGTAGAGGTACTCACTCATTCACTCACTGACACTGTGTGCTGCCATGTCTGGGACATTTTCTTTGTGTCTCATGTAGCCTTCATGTACTGTTACTACCATAAATATGCATTGTTCAATGTCGTAGGAGAAACTGCAGATATGTTTTTTTATGTTGTTTTTTTTCTCCCGCATCTAAATATTCATGTAGTGATTTAATAAGGTTTTAATGGATTTGTTTGAACTGTTTTCTAAAGGAGAGGTCAATAAAAGTGAATGAACGAGACAGTTTGACTTTTGTTTTGCCTTCAAACAGTTGATCAGTTGCTGAACCTGTTCCTGGTTTGTTTGGACTTCTTAGAAGAGTCGGTACAGTATTCGAGGATAACTGTGGTATTATGCGTTTTGTTTTTTTTTGTCTGTATCAAAGACTAAATTACATTATTGTGTAAAGAATCCCGACTTTTAAAAATAGTTGAACAACAGTTTAAGTTTTGAGCTGTGGATAGACTATAACGTGCAGGTTTTGTAGACTGAAATGAAAGCCTGCAGGACTCTGAACTACAGTGTTCTATTTCTTTATAGTTTGATCACTTCTGGACTCATCAGTCTGTCTGTCTATAGGGCAGGGTGGGGGAAAGTTGTCCAAAGGTGTATGACTGTTAGAAATGCCCTCAGGCACCTGGAGCCTGTTACAAGAAGCACATTCACTTCAGTATCTGAGTAGAAACAGGAAATGTGAAATTTACATCAGTTCATGGACTCAATTTGCATGGCTGATGTCAGAGGAGTAGCCAATCAGAGTCCAGGGAGGGTAGTGGACATCCCTGTGTTCCAGAGAGAAGCAGACAGAGGGGTCTACAGTTTGTGTTTGAAGGATATATCCAGGATGTCAAACTGACTCAGCAGCAACAACAGGTTAAAAAGACAAAGATAGAAGCTAAAGCTGAACTATAGGCTACAGATCACAGAGTAAAAGTGAACCACCACATCACTGCTGATCACCACAGATGCTGATAATGAACCAGCTATGTGGCATTGCAGTGTGTGCAGATGCATATCATGGATGTCATCAGCTTAAGAGATGCTAAACTACTAAAAAGAGATATGATACCATAGAGACATTAAATGCGTCACAGTGATACACAAAATGACAACAAACAACAGGTCATGTCTGTTGAGGGGCCTGTTGTCTCATCATTCATCATTTAAATGATAATGTACAAGTTATTATTGCCCAGAATTGTGACTCTAAATGTGAGTCTTAATATATTTTTACTCCTGTACAAATGTACCCTGCTCTTTTAAAACTTTGTGCAGATTTGAGGAGGCTCTGGGTTTCTAGCTGTTAATAACTGGGACAACTGAGTTTGAAAAGCCTTTTGTCTGAGCTCAGAAATGAGTAGCTTTTGTTACTGGATTTATAAACTTAATATACAGCCACAGGTTTGGAGCGCCTGACTTAACCGTTGCTTGAGAGCAACACTGAACACTGAAATCACCACTTCTCTTTACCTTTGTTTGGCAGAGGCTGTTTTGAGGTCAGCCACATCAGGAAAAGATTAGGTCAAATTATTAGGTTTCTGTTAACAATAAAAAGTGAAACACAAAGTTCTGTAAATTAGGACGTCTGATTTTACTTCAGAAAGAGAAATGGATGGTTACAATAGTGTTTCAGGTGAGCAACAATTCCCTTTTTTCTCCGTTCTCCACAACAACAAAACAAATGACCATACTACAACAAAGAAACACTACTATAGTGCAAGTAATTAAAAGCATGGCAGATTGAAATACTTTGGTCTTGGAGTATCTAGCAGCAGAATATGGGACCATAAACAAAAGACAAGGTAAAAAATACAAAATCTACATTAGTGAGGAAGCTTGAGCACATCCTTCAGATATCCAGTTCACTGGTACTGGAGTGTGAAATAGCTGTTTTAACAGAGACAACCAAACAAACAAACAAAAAAACCCAGCAGTATGTCCATTTGGTAATAGTTAATTGTTCCTGATAGTACAGTGTTAACGTCCTTACACTGAATGAAAGCCAAAGGGATACATAGTGGATCCAAAACTTCACGGCCGTCCATATTCTTCCTCCAGTATTCGCTGTCGGCATTTCTCCCTCAGTTTATTTATAGTTGCCATTGACAGGCTCCCAGGTTCTGTAAAGATTTTCTGTAAAAAGCAAGTTTGAGAGAATGTTACCAAATTGATTAAGGTTCAAGATTTCTTTAAAGATGTGTTTACATGCAGCCTGTAATTTCCCTCATATTAAGAAAACATAACATAATAAGCTTCACGTTAACACGGGGTCACGGGAGCAGCAGGCCAAGCAAAGTACCCCAGACGTTCCTCTCGCCAGCAACCCACTCCTCCTGTTTTGAGCACATGTAGCAACAGCCAGAGTTTCTGTCTTTTCTCATCGCACCTGCATGAAGGTGTGGCAGTCCAGAGTGAAAGCTCCACTGGTGATTTGTTTGAAGCACTCGCACACATCGGTCAAAGAGCGAGCTCTCAGGATCTCCGGCTGGTGGTGAATTATGAGAGTCAGAGCAACACGGAAAAGAACCTTGGAGCCCTCGTAGAAAAGACAATCCCAGACCCGCAGAACTGTCTGCAAGCAAAAGGAACAAGAGAGACACCTGTAAAATGGCATGTGCAACATCACCATGAATTTCTCATTGTTTTTTTACCAACTCTTCCTTACCTCAATGGGGAGTATGTCAATATAGAGGCAGATGAACCAGCGAGACACCACCAGTGTCCATATACCAGGATACTGGTCCATGAGCTGTCCTACCGCAGGAGCTTTAGCCTTCACCAGCTCCCCGAGAACCTCCTGATCTGTCTTCAGGCCCAACATGGCCGGGCTGTAGAAGTCTACAATATCCACAAAGTAGGTGAGTTTACTTTTCATCTGAGTGAATTTGTGATAGGTATTGGTCGGCATATTAAGCACTGTTGTGAACTGGTTTTATTTATATCTCTAAGGTCAAATCTAAATGTTTCAGATTGTTGTACTAGTCCAGGATTTGAATTGAATTTTCTATGTGGAGTGCCACAAGGCTCTAACCTGGGTCCACTACACTTCAGTCTTTTGTATAACAACTAGGGTCTAGAGCAAGCACTGTTTATTTACATTGTTGCAGCTGATGCACAATCATATAGTCATTGCAACAAATATTTAAACTGCCTTAATTACCTCAAAAAAATCTGATATCAGTGACCCAAGAAGGCCGTGATAAAACAGTTAAGAAGTACAAAAAAGAGGAGCACTGTCGAGCATAGGCTAATACATTTAAATGTCATTACAAATGTAGCAAAGGTAAGAGCTTATCTTTCTTCCCCTATAAACAGGAACTCATTGAGACCTTTATTGTACACAGGGTTAAATTACTGTGCTGTGTCACTCTCAGGTCTGTAAAGTCTGTTCTCTTTCGGTATGCTGATGTCATAGCTTTTATTAGAGCAAAGCAGGACTCATCACATCTTTTCTAAGGAGTCTACACATCTTTCATCTCATTTAATGTAATCAAAATCATTTAGAGGAGATTTTAAGATATTTAAAACTGGTTATAATCTAAATATTTAACAGAATTTGCCTTTACAAACTGCATGCTGCCAGATTATGACCATGATCATCTCCTCTGTAACTGAGCACTGCTACATTCACTGGCAATGTTATTAATTTTTAGTACATTTAAGCTTTTTCTTAGCTTGAATGCTTTATTTAAGCCTTGGTTTGCTGACACAGGTGTTTCCACTTACATTTCCTCATTAGGCATCTTCTAAGGACTTTGACTGACATCTCCCTCACTACCCTGATAGTTATGTCGCAGCTGTGAGGGCTGGACACTGACTTTGCTTACCTCGTCATACACTCACCTAGGACCTGAGCAGATCTCTAATCAGACTAATTTAAAACACATTTGGGAGGGTGCAGGGACTTGTGTGTGTAACTATTTAAAATAGAATCTTTACCTGGCAGCATTCTGCCCAACAGTGCGTCCATGAGCCAGAAGGACTTCTCTTCATCTTTTGTGATGATCATGAGGTAGCCTGCGATGAAGTTCATGCCCTGATATGAACAGAGACAGAGATTATCTAACTGGTGAGTCCACAGACATACTGTAGGTTTACAAACACATGAAGCCAGATACACAGCAGAATTTATGCTGGACATATGAACAGCCCATATAAACCCACTGATTTCCTTTTTTAGTTCAAAGAGGAAGTTATGACTTCAGTATACATTAAAGCATGACTTTAATTTAAATTAAACGATTAAGTTTGCTGTGCAGGAAGCTAACAGGGTCAGTGAAAGCTAGATTCGGGGAAAATCCTACACAGTATTTAAATGAATCAAGAACTAGTCAGTCCTGTTCCTTATGTAAAGTTCTTCATATCAACAGACAAGTGAGAGGAGGAGAAAGTGTTTTCTTCACCTGACAGTACCCAACTTCTTTATTGTGGTGTCCATAGGCCAGCAGCACGTTGTACAGAGCCTTCTGCAGGCTCGGTTCTGCTTTACTTTGGAAGAGGACGTTGTCAGGAAAGGTCCTGTGCATGTCTGTCAATAAACAAGGCAAGAATTGTGCATTGATAAGGGCCTGTGTGTTGATAGGGGCTGAGCTGTGGATGTTTTTTTTTTTTTTTTTTTTT